CCCACTATACTCCACAGACCTCTAGCCAACCGACTACCGTCTTTTCATCGCTTGTGTTACGTTAGAAAAAGTGCACTGATTCAAATTGTGCTTGTTTCGATTACATTAAATAAGTATTCACTGACTGACACATCATAGTTTAAAGTAGTCTCATAGAAAACGGATAAATTTTTGATACCACCAAAACTCCCACGCTCACGAATGTTTTCATTCTAATCAATAACAATAAAGAAAACCGACATCGAGTTTTCAAAACATTAGTTTCCTTTCGACCATCAACGAAATCGATGAATAAATTTCTCAACGAACCAAGACGATGAATGTGACATCGCATCATTTTTAAAAAGTAGGTCTTGACTTACAGGTGCATCGAGTACACGGTGTATACGATATACGACGCGTTAGTGGACAGCTTGGGGGCATCACGATTTTTTCTGAAGATCCGAATGGGAATTGTAAGATCTCAGGCAGCGAGAAGTTGATTTCAGTGCCTGACTGGCCCACAGAAATCATCTAATCCGTTTTCACCGAGATGATTTCTGGTACAATATTTATTGAATTTAAAGCACGATTCATTTTATTTATGTCGCCTGGTGTGCCCCAAAAGGTTCTATATTGTAAGTATTCATACCAAGTTACGTTTGCCAGTTCTCACGTTTGGTCAGACGATAAATTTTATCAGCCAATTTGAAAAGAATAGAAAACTTTTAACAGAGAAAATGGACATTACAGCATTGAGGATCAAGTAATTATTCTATCCCAAACAGGATAAAACGAGAAAAAAAATCAGGTATATACAGGCCAAACCGGTAGAAATTTTGACATTAGACTGCGCGAACACGTCTGTTTGAACAAAAAATCTGCAATTTATGAACATCTTCAAAAATCAAACCACAAGATGAATGAAGATAACCTCAAAATTCTACTCAAAAATGAATTTGTTGGAGCCCATGGAAATTAACAAAACAATTAAAAACCAGAAACATATACACCTAAACGAGCAACTCGATTTATGTAGGTCTCCCCTCTTCAATTTATGAGTTTAACAACCCCTTGAATTTTCAGTGTGGAATTTCAAAAGTTGGCATCCTGGGTCGCCCAACTACCTGTCTCTCAAATACTTGTCCTTGTAGCATACCTGAAAAATCTAATATACTTGATAATGGGACCAAACCTGAAATCGGTCGTATAAATAAAATCTACCAGTGGTATTTGGACAAAAGTGTTTTTTATTCATTTCATTCAAGTGTTCATGAATTACCATAAAGTAAACAAGTCATTAATCACACATATTAGATCTAGTAGGTACTCACAGAAAATCAATTTTCGTAGCCAATAGCGACCAATTGTGTTTCTTGGTGAAACATACCTTCATAGTGGACATACATCTTCTTAGAACTGGACGCATGAATCAACCAATGGGTTATTTTAAAATATTGCGAAGGGATCAAGACTCATTATTGTTCATGCAGGAGGTGACATGGGCTGTGTACCTTATTGTCGGATTATATTTAAGTCAGGCACAATATCAGGGAATTATCATTCAGAAATGAATTCTGAAAATTATAGTAAATGCTTAGAAGAAAAGTTTATCCCAAATTTACCTGTGAATTCAGTAGTCATGACCGATAATGCTCCATATAATAATAATCAAATTAATCCAGACCCCAAAACAAATTCTAGGAAGGCTGGTGAAGTGGCCTAACATCTTCAAACCCGAATTAAACGAGTTGATCAAGATAAATAAAAAGCATCATATTGGATACAAATTTGACGAGGTTCTGCTTGAACACGGGCATAACGTTATGGGACTTCCACTCTACCATCCGGATTTGAATCCCATTGAACTCATTCGGACTACTGTCAAAAACAACTTATCCCAAAGGAATGTAACTTTAAAGTTGGAAGATGTAGCGAAACTGGCGGAGCAAGAGTTTGATCAAATCACTTCCGAGGAATGGCAAAAGCGTTGCCAACATATAGTAGATATATAGCGGAAATATTGGGAAAATGAAACATTCACAGATATTCAAACAGAGGTAAATCCAGTGATTATAAATTTAAATGCCGATAGCAGCACAAGCAGCAGTGAAGAAGAAGAAAATTTGTATTCATATAGAGACTGAATAAAGTTTATTTTTGGATAAGTGTATCATTATATAACAATAACATTTTAATGAACAGTATTACCACCAATAATACTAAATAAAATATTAAAAGAAATTACAAATAAGTCATGTTCTATTTGCTACCCTAATTAAAACTAATTATAGGTACGACACTGGCCGACAAGGGGCTTATCGTAGTGGGGCGAGTCTATACCTACGCGGTCGCTCGCCATCAGCCGTGGCGTGTACTGTACATTCTTCCAAAATCCTGTTTACCTATATGGAAATTGAAGATATGTATAAGCGAAATGAAACTCAATAAATCTTGGAATACAAAGGTGCTCTTCAATTCTGAGAAATACTCATTGTCTTGAGAATGTTCCTATGATTTTATGGTCTAATCCGGTTCTGCAACAGCAATCTGGCATTCGATCCTATACGCTATGTCAGGAGGTCACCGGCTTTGAGTGTGAGAGAAACGTTTTTGTTTGATAATTCGCAATTTGATATTAACTGTCTAAAAAATAAATACGTCGCTTTTGTGTTGCGTGAAATTCTGTAATAGCGTCACAAGAATTCGAATCCAAATATGTAGGTATGTAGTTCCCGTCGTTGTTTTTATAGATAGAAAGTTGTTGACATTATACTTTCAGTTTGTTCTGATAATTCCTAGAACAAACTTGCGGAAGTTAGGAAGGAACAGAAGAATTTTCTGGCGTTTTGATCAAGATGCTTTCGTTAGAACACTAGTAATTAATTCTTCATTTGTACATTCCTCAGAGACTAATCACTATTTTTCCAAAGCCAAATTTGAGAACGCATTTCTGTTTCATTTAATGATTTTTATACTTTGAGGAAATAGAATTTCTTGATTCTCTACTGCTTCTACCAACTATCTATTTATGTACTTCTGAAGATGAGAAATATGTGAATATATTCATTCATTTATCAATTATAGACAAGTTCAAATATAGGAGAATCTTAACCCATCGGCCCATACGCCAAATAATCAATATTATGTGCAAAAATAGTTAGGTTAGGTCCAAACTGAGTTGCCATCTAGGTGTTTCTATCTTTGTTTGGCAAAGCCTAAAGTGATGCCAAAGACAGCTTCTGGTCCGATGAAGCTTTTGGAAGGTAGTCAGCAGCCTCATTGCCTTCCAGACCAGTATGTCCAGGAATCCAGACCAGATACAATCTGTTAAGTCTTCCTATCGAGGAGAATCATTTTTGGCAACCAATTCAGACGTTGCTCGGTTGGAGCCAAGAGATTCCAACGTCGCTTTACTACCTGAGAATATTTTTATTGACTTGTCTATGAGGTTGGATTCTTCCAATCTCTCCGCACACAATTCAATAGCATAAATTTCCGTTTGAAATACAATCGCATAGGTTCTTAGGCAGGTTGATATTTCTGTCCTAGGTCTGCGACTGAAAACACCTGCAGCAGAACGGGAAGGAGTTTTTGATCCATCTATGAACCAACAACTATCTGCTCTTAATATGTTCCTCTCCCGGATGATCCAGTACTGCCTACCCGGGAACAGTACTTTATAAGGCAGTTCGTAGTTGACAGTTGAAGGCATTAAGTCAGAGGTAATTTCCAGAATGCTGTGACTTCCAGTGTCAACCAATAGTCTGTTGCGCTCTACATTAAATTGATTTGTGCAATTGGCAATGTGTCTAGATGCAATCCATATAGCCTCTCTCTCCAGAAAAATGTAGAGGGGAGGTAGATCTAGAAGGATCTCCATGGCCGCTGACGGTGTGGTACTGATGGCCTGGCAAGCCTGTCTCTGTAAGCCTGAGAGCTTCGCCTGAGCCGTTTTCTGTAAAACCTTCGGCCACCAGGCAATTGCCACCAGGCAATATATGTGATCATTGGTCTGACAATCATCACATAATTCCAATGGATTTGTTTGGGACCTAAACCCCAAATTTTACCACAAATCCTTCGACATGTCCATAGAGACAGTCTGGCTTTGTGTAAAACTGAGTGAGCGCTCTAGGTGAGTTTTGTGCAAAAATAGTATCTATCATTTAAATTATAGTTGATGGAATCCTTGAAAAGAGGCGGTTGATCTGTTGGGATCTTTTGTTATCTCACCAGGGTATTCGACTGTGTCGATCGTAAGAAACTATTGTAGAAACTCAATGCGTATTATTTATCAGATGCCCCACAGAGTGGATAATCGATATAGAATCGATAATCAACTTGAATGAAATTAGTTAAGCAGTTCCACAAGGTTCCATTATAGGCCCCATATTATTCTTGCTATACGTAAATGAATTCAGCAGAGCTCTTAGCAATTTAGCTAGCGATGCACAATGTGTGCTGACGATGCGTCAATTTTAGTTTCAACCAAAAATGATATTGATATTCAACAGCACTGTAGTATATATAGCACTAGATAGTGGAGATGGTTGAGGGGAAATTCACTATATCTGAATATGACTAAAACGGTTTTCGTGAATTTTCATCCTTTCCAAAAGGTTTCTGAATTTCAGTTAACAATAAGATCTGTACCAGAGGTTGAGTTTCTTGATATCACATTAGATGATCATTTGAACTTCAAAGTACATTGTTAATTTCTTGTCGAAAAATTGTGTTTTGTTGATGTTGAATGTTTTTTTGCTACATTGTTTTTTATTTGTCCTGTATTTATCTAATACGTCTGATGATTTTTGAATTTAGTTAGTCTCAAAATAGAAAAAACTGAAGAAGAATTTAATTGAATTCGAAACATTGGTAAGAAAAGAATCCATTTTCTGAGATAATTTGATTCCGTTAACCCAACAAACCTTTTAAAATATACGTCATGTGGATCACTATAATATTTAACAAAAAAGATAACGTTGATCTTTATTTTCACTAGTTTGATTGATACTGACCTTCTACAAAGCTCGGCTGCTTTTTCCCAAGAATGCCTGATGTTGAAAAATTTATAGCAGTGAAGACCTCTCAGTTCCCAACCTGTAACAAATTGATTATTATTAGAGTTTACGTGGATGCTACTTGCGACTATGTTATTAGAAGTATAATACCAGGACAGTAATGAACAGTTGGAGTTAGCTGAAGTATGAAAATATAATAATGTAATTGTAGTTGCTCAAGAAACGATATCTCAAATATGAGTATTGCCTGGGTTTCTAGATTGAAGAACATCTTAGTTCTATTATCGGTGAAAAAGTGTTTAACGTTCAACTACTTGCAAAGTTGAAAGCAGATGGAATCTTGCATTTTGAATCAGTCTGTCACGATTAACTTCTTCTCAACTGATTCATTTTTGTGGGATCATGTTGAAGACAAATTATACAACTCAACCAATTATTCAACAAATGCTTCAAAATATTCGACATTTTGACGAAAACCAAAAATACGTCAATGTAATGGTCATCAACTTGAGAATTCAAGAATCCTCATGATGACCTTACAACTCTATTGAAATTACAAATACCATAATAGTTTATTTCGAGAGTTTCTGTGAGTTATCACGAGAATTCTGAAGAGTTGTGTTTGGAATCAAAATAAGTAACATTTAAGTAACATCTCAAAAACTACACCTCACGATTTAATCTTAACAAACTATATATATCACAAATGTATCACAACGTGTTTAGCTAGCACAGTAGCTTTTTCAAGTGATTTATACTTCAAGTTGTTCTTACATTAATATTTATATACTACAGGTAACCATAATTGAAACTACCTCAAAAAAATTACCTAAACCTCAACCTAAGGTACCAGTTCAATTATGATTACCTGAAGCATATTACCTCACATCTACATCAATCATAATTCTTTCTCGGTTTTTAAGAAAACAAGTTCAATAATGGTGATCATTCATTAGAATGTTTGAATTTTCAAGTTTATTAATTTCCATTGCTTCCAAATGATTCGGTTTCAAACCTTTATTTTCTATGTGCAAAATTTCGAACTCTCCATCAAAGATATGATTTTCTTCTAGAAGATGATTTTAATAAGTTGAATTTGTTTTCTTATTTACATAGCTCGTATGCTGTTCCTGGAATCGATTCCTGAATGTACTGCCAGTTTGGCCAATATATACCTTAGGGCACGTTCCACACTTTAATTTATATACTCCTGATTTCTCGAATTTGAATGGTTTGTCTTTAGCATTTTTAACAACTTTCCCAACGTATTACTTGTTCTATATGCATTTTAATATCTCGTTTCCTCAAAAATGAAGCCACTTTTTCCGTTGGTTGTCCAAAATACGTTAAAGCTCTATAATTTTGATTATCCACCTTATCAATAGAAAAAACGTCTCGAATCGCTTTTGCGTAGACTTTCTTGGCAAGTATTTCGTTTATTTATTCGGCTTTAAACCTATTGGTAACCGCAATTTGTTTGATGATATCAAGTTCTTTATTGAAATTATCTATTGAAAGAGAAACATTGACTAATCTGTGAATCATGCTATTATAAGCTGCTACTTTGTATTGATAAGGATGGGTGGAATCGTGATGTATAGTAATATCCGTATAGGACGGTTTGTGATAAATTGAAAAATTACGTTTGTTGTTCATTCTACTAATTGTTAGGTCCAAGAAATTGATTGAGTCGTCTGCTTCTATTTCAATAGTGAATTTAATGTTTTCATGATTAACGTTAGTATTAACTGAAAAAGCGGTGAATTCAATGATACCAGTGCCATCTATGTGTTAGGCCCGAAACTTTTTAACTCATGTAGTAGTTCTCCTGTGATGCCCTTCCACAGCTGCAGACTACTAACAATGCTCACCAGCCAGGTAACTTGTGATCATCCAGACCGAAATGCAGCAGCTCTGGAGTCGTATCTTTAAACCATCTGTTGGAATATCATCTCCTAGAGCCACAATAGCATACTGAAGAAATCCCAGTTGATTTCTAACTCTGCAAACATTCCATATGAAGCAAAATTTGGATGCACACCGATTTGAATATCTAATTGACTGCCTTGTTGATTTTGTAACTTCATCAGTTTTGACATATCATTTTTTCATCAGCTATCCACAGTATGAGTGTAATAAATTACTCCTCTTTCATATTTCAGATTATTTTCCCCAACGCATAAAAATTATGAAAACCTCACGAAATTATCATAAATCAATGCTCATGATTCGCACTGTTGACATCAATATTTTTGACGGTAATTATAATTTTCGGAACAAAATAATTTTGATATATGTCACACGAATTCTATAATTTTTATTATGAAACATTTACATGTAAAACATTTGATAAAATCTCTAGATGGTGGGTCGAGGGATTTTTCCTTAGACTATTATAATTCACTCAAGTAATTTGCAAAATTTTGAAAATTTCAGATCTCCACACATTTTAACCGAAGAATCTTTGAATATACAGAGTGGCCCAACGAAAAGTATGCACCTTGCTTTTCTCCTTTTTTTGTAACTTAACGCAAAAATGCTCGGACAGGTCAATTTTGCTATTGAGGGGGACACATTTTAGATATATTTTTCCACCTGTGCCTTCAACCCCCTAGCGAGGGTGAGTAACAACCCTAAAATTTTAAATGGAAAGTGGGGTCGAGTGATATATCATTTGAAAAGGCACAAAATTATCTTTCCAATGATACCAAATTTGTTGTATTTCACTCAAACATGTAGGTATTATGAAGAAAAACAACTACATCCCAGTACTTTGAAATGTGTAATTGTAGAATCGTACTTCAGCAAGTGCTGAAAATGTGACCCATTTGCTTCCATACAGTAATACAGATTTTGTTCAAATCTATTCCTAACATTCTGTAGCATATCAGGTATTATACTTCTGCACTCTGCTGTAATTCGTTGGCGAAGATCTTCTATAGACTCGGGCTGCGTAGCAAAACATTTAATTTTCAAGTGTCCCCAAAGAAAAAAGTCTAAAGGCGATAAATCAGGTGACCTGGCAGGCCATTCGATTGGGCCTCTCCTTCCAATCCACCGTCCAGGAAACCGGTCATCTAAAAACTCTCTTACCGAAGCAACATAGTGAGGAGGTGCTCCATCTTGCTGGAAATCATCATTATGATTTTGGAATTATTATTCCCAGGAATAAAAAGTGGTCCTACGATATGACTACCTAATATGCAACACCAGACATTGATTTTTTGAGGGTACTGGGTATGGACCTCTCGGAATAAGTGTGGATTACTGTCATCCCAGTAACGGCAATTATGCCTATTCACAGCTGCATTAAAAAAAATGTACTCTCATCGAAAAACCACGTGTTGAATGATAGGTGCGGATCATCAATCAGTAGCTGGCTCAGTTGTTCACAAAATTGCAGCCTTCTATCAGGATCATCTTCATTGAGTTCCTTTACTAATTTAATTTCGTATGGATGAAATTTATAGGCTTTTAATATCCGTATTATGGACGAACGGGAGACACCTGAGGCTGCAGCAAGCTGACAGGTACTTTGAATATGATCCAATTCAACATGTCCCAAAACAGCGACTTCCACTGCTCATTTCTGATTGGTTTCCGTGGCTGGTGTTTCACATTACAGATAGATCCGGTATCGAAAAACTTTTGGACTAACTTGGCAACGTACGAATCATTCACATTTTTCCCGGGATGACTGTTATTGAAGAGGCGAGCAGTAAGTCTAGCACAACTATTATGTTGATAATAAAGTTTAACAATTTCAACTCGTTCAGGAATGGAATAGGTAACTCATTTTTACAGTAAAGTTGAAATAATTTCAAAAGCAACCGAACTGAATCAATGAACGTTTGCCTAAATTCTTTTTGTACACTTATCTGCTGTTGTTATTTGAACCAAAAAACGCACGAGAGAAATTGAGGAATGTAGTAGTGATAAAAATTCCGTTTTTTCCACATTTTCAGTAACACCAAAAATATCGAGTAAATGTTCTTGCTTTTTTTATAACTATTCAAGTAAATACAACAAATTAGGTATCATTGGAAAGATAATTTTGTGCCCTTTTAAATGATATATTACTCGACCCCACTTTCCATTTAAAATTTTAGGGTTGTTACTCACCCTCGCTAGGGGGTTGAAGGCACAGGTAGAAAAATACATCTAAAATGTGTCCCCCTCAAAAGCAAAATTGACTTGTCCGAGCATTTTTGCGTTAAGTTACAAAAAAAGGAGACAAGCAAGGTGCATACTTCTTGTTGGACCACTCGATATATATAACCAGATATAACCGTTAATTATTTCTGATGGTTCTTATGCCATTTCAAATGGTATCATTTTTTTTTCTGTATATGCAACAAGTTTTTGGTGGCTTCTTCAGGCATGTGAAGATGAATTAATTTAAAACACTATGTCGAATGATACTTTTTGGCAATACTGACTACCAACATTACATCAAATGATTTATTGATTAGGAAGATGGAACATATTTCCACAATAAATTACTAGTTCAAATCTGAATTCGACTTAATCATTATGCAAAAAAGAATCTGACAATGAGATGGTGAAAGTGAAGATTCAACACTCATTTCGTTTGGAGAGTACCTTGTAATGTTCAGTGAGGTGTGCTAACGATTCTTCGATAAGAAACTGGCCCAACATCATAAACTAAAGAAATGGTTGTTGCAAAATATCGATTTGAAACTACCTAGTTATTCAGATGATTGATACGAGAAAGAATTGAAATTTACGTTCAGATTTCGTTATATCATCATGTGTTATTATCGATAAAGTTTCTCACAACTAATTATATCTGAGTCTGACGGTGCTCTATTCACTTATGTCACTGTAACTCAGTTTTGTATAAATGGGGAAAATATTCATAGATATAGAAATTTGGGCGGTACTTCTGAATTTTTTTATAAGAATTCACATTTGTTAAAAACTAATGGTCGAATTCGCTCTTTTTGTTGAATTGTTATTTATATTCTTACGTCAAGTTGGAATACATTTCTATTAAATATTCCCGAATTGCTACAAACATTTATTTTGTATTGATGTATTATATAAGATTGAAAACGA